TCTATTGATGAATAGTGAAAGACATGAAGACATAAATGTGTAAAATATGTCAGAAAGCAATGATTCTATTTTAATTTTTCATTGTTCTATTTTCCTTATTTTATTAGTTCTTTGATTTTTTTTACAGTGCATTTTGAACATATTCACTTCCTTACTCCTCATTTCCCAACTCTTCCCAGATCCACCCCCTTCTCAACCCACCAAACTGTTCTCTAAAGAAGCAAAACCAGTCAAGTTCCCTTTGTGCTGACCATGGACTCCCACATGTAGACCTCACAAAGCAGGACCACCCACCAGGGCCCTCACTCTTAAAGGAAATGGATTTCCTCTCCGGGCTCCTATCTTCCAGCTCCCTAACTGGTCTACTTCCTCTCTCCATGCTTGAATTTGGATGGTTTGTCTTTGCACAGCTCTTGTGTACTCACTCTTAACAGCTGTTTGTGCTGTCTTCTCTTTTCTTTCTTTCTCCTTCCTTATGGATCACAAGGAAAATGATAACAAAAGATAATTGCTTCATCCTAGTATTTATTATGTTTATATATATTGCTATGTTTTATTTCTGAGGTCTCACACTGCAGTGAAGGCCGCCGTTGAACCATCACTGTAGCTCAGAATGGGCTCACACTCATAACAGTCCCCCGAGGAGTTAATATTTATGGGAAAGACTCACTCTCAACATTCTTAGCAGTTCTACACCTAGGAGTGCACTCTGACTCCTTCTCCTCCTCCTCCTCCCCCTCCTCCTCCTCCTCCCCCTCCTCCTCCTCCTTCTTCTTCTTCAATTTTGTTTTTTTGTTTTTTTTTGGGTTAGCTTATTTATTTGTTTTCTTTCTAAATAGAGAGAAAAAGAAAGAGTCCTGATTTGGGTGGGTAGAGAAGTGGGAAGAAGCTGGGAGGAGCAGGGGAAGGAGAAACCATGCTCAGAATATATAGTATGACTTTTTTTCAATTAAAAATATGTCGTTCTGTAGGCTGTCGTTTTGTTCTGATGACAGTGTCCTTTGCTTTACAGAAGCTTTTCAGTTTCATGAGGTCCCATTTATTGATTGTTGATCTTAGAGCCTGTGCTATTGGTGTTCTGTTCAGGAAATTGTCTCCTGTGCCAATGAGTTTAAGGCTCTTCCCCACTTTTTCTTCTAACTGATTTAGAGTGTCTGGTTTTATGTTGAGGTCTTTGATCCACTTGGACTTTAGTTTTGTGCAGGGTGAAAAATATGGATTTATTTTCATTTTTCTGCATGTAGACATCCAGTTGGATCAGCACCATTTGTTGAAGATGCTGTCTTTTTTCCATTGAATGGTTTTTGCTTCTTTGTCAAATATCAAATATTCTTAGGTGTGTGGGTTTATTTCTGGGTCTTCTATTCGTTTCCATTGATCCTCCTTTCTGTTTCTATGCCAATACTGTGCAGTTTTTATTACTATTGCTCTTTAGTACAGCTTGAGATCGGGGATGGAGATACCTTATTTGTAATAGCCAGAACCTGGAAACAACCTAGATGTCCCTCAACGGAGGAATGGATACAGAAATTGTGGTATTTTTACACAATTGAATGGAATACTACTCAGCAATCAAAAATGAGGAAAGCATGAAATTTGCAGGCAAATGGTGGGATCTTGAAAAGATTGTTCTGAGTGAGGTATCCCAGAAGGAGAAAGACACATATGGTATATACTCACTTATATAGACCTATAAGATATGATAAACATAATGAAATCTATACACCTAAAGAAGATAAACAGGAAAGAGGACCCAGGGTTAGATGATCAATCCTCACTTAGAAAGACAAATGGGATAGACATTGGACGTAGGAGAAAACAAGTAACAGGACAGGAGCCTACCGCAGAGGGCCTCTGAAAGACTCTACCTAGCGATGTATCAAAGCAGATACTAAGACTCAACCAAACCTTCGGCAGAGTGCAGGGAATCATATGAAAGAAGGGGAGTTAGTATGACGTGGAGAGGATAGGAGCTCCACAAGGACCAAATATATCAGGGCACAGAAGTCTTCTATGAGACTGACACTCCACCAAGGACCATGTATGGATATACCCTAGAACTTCTGCTAGGATGTAGCACATGGTAGCTCAGTAACCAATTGTTTTCCCATAGTAAGGGGAACAGGAACTATTTCTAACAGGGACTCAATGGCTGGCTCTTTGACCTCCCCACCCCGCCAAGGGAGGAGCAGCCTTGCTAGGCCACAGAGGAGGACTTTGCAGCCAGTCCTGAAGATACCTGATAAAACAGGGTCAGATGAAAGGGAAGGAGGTCCCCCCTATCAGTGGACTTGGAAAGGGGCAGGGAGGAGATAAGGGAGGGAGGGAGGATTTGGGAGGGAATGAGGGAGCGGGATACAACTGGGATACAGAGTTAATAAAATGTAACTAATAATAAAAAATTAAAGAAAGAAAATAATAAAAATCTATCATGAAGTATATGATCTGTAGATTGAGCTAAATCCGACCAGGATTGGGATGCAGGATAGGAGACATGGGATGGGAAGGAGAGGGAGGGGACAAGGAGGCAGGAAGACGGACCAGCCAGGGCACTGCAGTTCAAGTTGTTTTATTTGTGAGGCTGATGGGTGTCAAGTTCCAATCAGTACTGGGCAGATGAGTCTCCTCTTGATTCTTTATGAGGAAAGCATTTGGTTTCTTTCTTTTCCAGCCAAAATCATTGCATTTGTTCTTTTTATTTTTATTACTATTATTTTAATTTTTGGTAGGGTCTTACTATTTAGCTCAGCCTGTCCTGGAACCTAGTCTCTGCTGCAGTTTCTCCTTGACCTTCGTCCTGTCTCTGCCTCCAGAATGCTGGCGTGGTAGGCCTGGTATGTCATGATCAACTTGCCTTTCTTTTCTTTTAAAGCAGTCTTATCTCTGTCAGGCTTCTGTCTGCAAGCTTAGCAGAGTATCGTTCATAGTGTCAGGGGTTGGCAGTATGATAGGGTGGGTCTTTGGTTGGGCATTTCCTCAGACTCTGCTCCCTCTGCTCTATCTTTATCCCTGCACATCTTGTAGGCACAGTAAATTTTAGGTTGAAGTTTTTGTGGTGGGTTGGTTTGGTGTTTCCTCCCTCTACTAGGAGACTAGTCTAGTTAGAGGGTGCCCTCTTCTGTGTCTATAGCCTCTGCTACTAGAAGTCTCTTCTTGAATCCCCCCATATCCTCCCGGGGGCCTGCCCTGACTGAGGTCTCCAGCTTGTCACGGAGATGTCCCCACCCTCAGTTTCTCTTTTCTCTACAGGCCTCTGTCCTCTCGCCCTCGCTCTCCTCAGATCTGATCTCCACCCTCTTAACTCTATGTGCTCCCTCTCCTACCTTGTTCCCTCTCTTCAGCTACTACCTCTCTCTATTCTGTTTTCGATTCTGAGTGAGATTTAAGCATCCTCCCTTGGGTCCTCCTTGTTACTTATCTGCTTTGGGTCTGTGCCTCATAGTAACAGATATTGAAACTCACAGCCAAACATTGGTCAATACGTAGGGAGTCTTGGGGAATAGTAGGAGGAAAGAGAAAAGAGGAAAGACTTGGAAGTGACTGGAGCTCCACAAGAAGATCTACAGAGCCAGCTAACCAGGGCCCAGAGGGTTTTGCTGAGACTGGAGCATCAACCAAGGACCATGAATGAACTGGACCTAGGCCCCCTACTAAGATGTGGCAGATGGGCAGCTCAGGCCTCATATGGGTCCTCTGGTAAGGGAAGTGGGACTGCATCAAACACGGACTCACTTGCCAGCTTTGTGATCACTTTCCCCTGCCAGGACTGCCTTGCCAGGCCACAGGGGCAGAGGACATGCTCAGACCTGATGCACTGATGGGCTGGGGTGGATGGGAAAGGGAGGGAGCTTTCCTTCTCTGAGGAAAGGGGGAAGTGGGTGGAGGAGGGAGAGAGGGTGGAACTGGGAGGGGAGGAGGAAAGGTGCTACAGGATGTAAGGTGAATAAAATAAATAAATGAAGAAAGAAGCAGTCTGATCTCTGATCCTCTGCACTTGCGTTATGGCTTTGAGCTTAGTGTTGGTATGGGATTCCTACATGTGGGAAGGACCGAGTCTCTGGTTCCTGTGCCTGCCCTTGGGCTCTTTTCCTTCTGGTGGTTTGTCTCGCCTTGCCCAACTTCGATGGGATAGTTTTTCTTTCTTTTCTATTTTATTTTATTAAAAAGGAATGACTGAAAACTTAGTCACTAGGGTGAAGGAGAGTAACAGCTGCACTGTAATTTATGCCTGCTGGAGAGGAAGCCCCTTCTCCAATGGCGTCCAGACAGGTCACATGTTCAGGGGTGGTTGGCCAACAGGTACTAGACTCTTGCTTTATTTGGTTTCGGTTTGTCTCTCCCTCCTGCCTTCGAATGGTTGTTTCATTTTGTTTCCTTGGTTTTGGAGTGTTTGGGTTTTTGTTTGTTTTTTGAGTAAGAATGTAAGCTTGCCTAAGTAGGGAGAAAGAGAGGATCTGGATGAACTTGCAGGAAGGGAACAATATGACCAATATATAAATTTAAAAATTGTTCTAAATAATAAAATAATGTGATCCTTTGTACCTGGAGTTGGGATGAGTACAGTAGTGACTGTTTTTGAGAGGCCCTGTGCTCATGCCTGGACTACGTGGAGGTCTTTGGGTTCAGTGTAGATAACAGGGGTTGGAGAACCAGACCTCATGTTTAAGATTCCAGGAAAGGCCAGCCATGGTGATGCCTGCCTTTAATCCCAGTACTAGGGAGGCAGAGAGCAGCCTGGTCTACATAGTGGGTTCTAGGCCAGTCTAGGACACACAGTGAGATCTTTTAACACAACGAAATAATTTTAGGAAAGGATAAGGATCTTACTTTTACTCTTCACCAAACTATTACATAAGCTTTGTTTGGAATATTAAGAAATTTTTAAAAAAGTTATTTAAAAAATGTTAAAACAATGGTTATATCTGTAATTGTGAAACAATTGGAAAAGAAACTTTTTTTTTTTAATAATGTAAAAGTAAGAGGCAATTTTCTTTTCATAGCTCACCTTTGTGGAGAAGGCTGGAACCATGTTGGGGATGCTTGTCTTCGAATCAATTCCAGCAGAGAAAGTTATGACAATGCCAAGCTCTATTGCTATAATCTTGGTGGAAACCTTGCTTCCCTGACAACTTCCAAGGAGGTAGAGTTTGTGTTGGATGAAATACAGAAGTACACACAACAGGTATGCCCTGGGGTTCTCCATGCGATGGACACGTGTGACGATGCATGGCTCACAGATTTATGACTTATTCTTACTAAAGGCATTTAAAGTAAATGTTTTTCTGAAGGATGGGCAAGTAACTTATTACCATGTGTGGAAACCCATTAGTGTACTTGGTAGCTTTCTGCCGTAGGAGAGCGTAGAGATGCAAAGAAGTGCTGTTCTCAGAGGGTGTAAGAGGAGCTGTTCCCAGACAGTGTAAGAGGTCCTCTTGACAGTGTAGCGGAGGAAGAGACAGGAGCAGTTATTCTTGAGTGTGGTAATTGCCATGATAGACACACACACTCAGGGTGCCTCATGAAGACAAGGAAGGAGAGGTAGGCACAGTGTGAGCTTATGGAATAGTGCTGGAGAAAAGCTGGAGCCAGCATCCATAGGACTCAGAGATGTTCCTACAGAAACCAGAAGAAGCCTGTGTTTTGTTTTGTTTTTTCCTCATCTTATTTAAGAGCTTCCGGCATAGTAGGTCTGTGCTAGTTGGTGAGGAAGACAGAGACCTGTTGGTTTTTACACTTTAGAAATATATAAGTTTTTTTAAAGTAAAGTTTTATGGTAAACATGTGGAATGTACAGAAAAGATTTGCTATTTTTTACGACATTAAGGGCTTTTTTTTTTGTCATATCGAAAGCTTTTGATTTGCACACTCATGTTTTGTATTTCAGAAAGCACTACAATGTGTCATTAAAGCTCCATTTATTTTCCTGTGTTTAGCACAAATTTCTTTTGGCTGTTATAAAATAACCACAAAGTTGGTCATGTGAACTCTGTATTTTAAGAATTCTCATAGCTTCTAACTTCTGTCACCTATGTTTGTAATCTGTAAGGAGTGGATTGCAAACTGAGATTTGCTTGATTGCTGAGTCTCATCATACAAATGGTGTTTTGTTTCCATCAGAAACAACTTTTCACAGAATTTCAAAGTGGAAACTTCTTCAAGGTGACATTTCATTAGGCATATCTCTAAGTAAAATGAATTATATCCTGAGTCATTGCAGCTGCACAGGCTTAAGAGAACCCTTCCTTGGCCAATAAAGATCGACAAATTCATGCACTTTAAAGAGATATCTTGGGTCAAATGATCATTTAGTTATCGGAAATGGCTAATGGAATGTTACAATGATTTATGGTGTGCTGCAGTGAATTTTCATAATACAGCAATTTATCTTTCATTTTCAACTGCCTGTCTGGCTCATTTACTGAGTAATAGTTACTTTAAATCTTTTATCACTGGCCTCATTTTTGTTTTTCTTCCTTTTCTTTCAGATTCTTATCATGATGAGTTAGAGAGTAATATTTTATCTTAAATGGCCTTTTTTGGGCTATAGATAGTTAGGAAACATAGGAAGAGTTGCTAATCTGAAACTTCTGTTTTGGATTGATTATCTGACTTGTGTTATTATAGAGTATGATTTAAAAAGACAGCTTTTTGTTATCCTAGTATCTCAGAATGAGTGTTTAAGATACAGAATTATAATGTGAAGCAGCGTGTGTGCTTTAATAATTGAAAGCATTGCTAAACCCCACCTCACCGTTATGCCAGAGAGTATACAATAACCAATTTATTCTAAGACCGTTGTTTATTAAATTTTATTCATTAATTGCTATCTACACTGTATTATTTTGGCAATGTGACATGCATTGTCAAAGTGAAAATTTATAAGGTAATTTAATTTTATTCAAGAAATAGCTGCTGACTATATACAATGTGAAACACATTATATTTAGATATACACTTGCAAGTCTAAAGGCGGATGATTAACTTACCTCCCTTGGGCCATTTGTACATGAATACTATATGTAAACATCTTATTTCTGTTGATAGAGACTAAGATGTAGTAACATTTTTATTCTGTTTTACATATATAAAAGAATTAAAAGAATGATGCTTTGACATAAATTTCCTTCGTTGTGACTATTAAGTAGCTTAGTGATTTAGAAGATATATTATCATGTGTTAAAAAAGAGGTGTCCATACTCTAATGGAACATTGGAACTTAGATTTAGAATGTATTTTTGCTTTTAAATAATGATTAAGATAAATTATATAAATCTAGAATCGATTTTGATTTCATGCCAAGCTTGAATGGTCAGTGGGACTATTAAGAATGGTTGTGCTGCTTTTGAGAACCTGCGCTTATCAGATGTTTTAACATGACAGCCAGACTCTGTCTGGTCCTTGTTTTTCCCGTTAATGAGCAGGTGATGTCAGTTTTCCTAAAACGGCACACAGGTCCACACTTAGCTGGGAATCCCGAATGGGCAGTCCTTGGTGTGACATCTTCATTCAGCATCCACATAGATCTGTTGATTTTGTTTTCCGTTTTTGCACAGTACTGGTACTTGATTTCTCTGTGGTTCCAAAATCCATAGCTGATTAAACCGTATGCCTGATAGTGTTAGTTACAGTGGTGGCACTGTATTTATTCGTTTGTTTGAGATAGGATCTTACTGCGTAGCACTGGCTGTTGTAACTCCCTGTGGAGGAACCTGTCTCTGCCTCCTGAATGCTGGGATTAGAAGCGTTCTATAATCCCATTTTATAGGAGAGAAAAAAAAATGAAGAAAGGCTAAAAAAAAAAAAAAAAAAATTCATTCAGCCCTGTAGCTAAGCTCAAAAAACAGTGCTTTCAGAGCAGTGTTGTGATCTGTGTCATCCTCCAGATTCCACTGAAATTATTATTGGAGTAAAAATTATTAGAAAGGTCGTTCCAAGTGTTTTCCAATGTGGTATTTAGTGACTAAGTGATCCCATGCAGTACTAATGCTCTGATGCTCTCGTGGTCCGCGTCCTCCTTGCAGAAGGTGTCGCCGTGGGTGGGTCTGCGCAAGATCAACATCTCGTATTGGGGCTGGGAGGACATGTCCCCCTTCACCAACACCAGCCTGCAGTGGCTTCCGGGGGAGCCCAACGACTCCGGCTTCTGTGCCTACCTACAAAGGGCTGCAGTGGCGGGGCTCAGAGCCAACCCTTGCACGGCCATGGCAGATGGCCTTGTCTGTGAAAAACCTGTTGGTAAGTAGTCACGCATCAGCCTTTCTTCACTTGAGTGTGTTAGCCTGTTGCCCAGCCCTCCTTTCTAGAGTGCAGTGACTTGTACTATCCTGTCTTAACCCCAGGTGCTTACTGATATTAGCATAACTTGTACTGGTAAATTTGTAGTGTTCTTTATATATATATTCTTAAATTTTACTTATGTTTCTTACAAAACTTTAATTATTTTATTTTATTTTGTATGCATGAGTGCTTTGCTTACATATACGTGTGCACAGACCATGTGCATACCTGAGATCTGTGGAGATCAGAAGACAGGGTCAGATCCTTTGGTAATGGAATTACAGATGGTTGTGAGCCATTAAGTTCTGGGAAGCAAACTGTGGTCTTCAGCGAGAACAAATGCTCTTAAGGGTGGAGTCATCTCCCTGCCCACTGTATTCTCTGTATAACCTTTGTTTCTTAATTGTTATGGTGCTGTCTAACGGTCTATCTGGAAAAGCCCAGAGCATTTCTGTCTAATCGTACCTAGGCCTAGGTCTGGAATGTTGCCGCCTCCAGGACTTACTGCTGACTTAGCTCGCCCTTTCTAGATCTTCCTGATATCTGTCTGTCTGGTGCAACTTAGCTGTTCTAGCTCAAACCCCTTTCCAAGCTGACTAATTCAAACTGGCTTCTCTTGGCTCCTTAAGTTGCTCTGCTGGGCTTCAAACTAACTCTGATGATTTGTTCTAATCTCCTGGCTCCTCCTTATTCTCTGGCTTCAACTGCCCCTGCTGACCTGCAGTGAATTGAGCTGAACTCGGCTCTCCCAACTCCACTGCACTGCACTCACTCAACCTAACTGCACCAAACTCAACCCTGCTCATCTGAAATGACTTCCGTCTCGATACTCTCTCTCCTGCACCGTACTCTACTCCCTCAACTCTACTGCACTGCACTTAAGTAGCTTCTCTTTCCTGTATGTTCTCATGAGAATTGGGTTCATCCTGTGTCTTTCTCATTCTGTCAAATCTTTCTCTGATTCATCACTTTGTCCCTTAATGAGACATCACTTCCAAACACGGCTGCTTCATCTATAAACTAATCGACTCTACATTGTTTGAGATTAAAGGTGTGTTCTAAGGGCATGTCTGTATTCCAGCCAGATCATACTGTAGTCCAGGGTGTCTCTGCCTTGTGGTTGGATCACGTAGACCTAGCAGGTCTTTGGATGTGATCACAGCAGCCATGTTGCTGGATTAAAAATTCTCTACATTTTTCATCCTAATGTATATGATAGCTGTTGTATTCCGTATTAAGATTTTGTAGTATGTCGTATATTGTCACTTGTGTATATCAAAGACCTAGTCACGGCCTTTCTTCGGTAAGATGTGGAGTGCTTATGGAGAGACTTGGGTCCGGGAAGTAAACAGTGCTGGTTCTGCCCACCGAGACAATTGAAAGGCCTTCTCGTGTTACTATGCAATTGCAGCTTACAAAACTACACATCTTATACTCTCGAAAGAATTTAGAAAAGGAAAGGAATTCTATATTTTCAAATTTAGTTCTAAATTGGTACACATATCAGCTCATGTTCTAATGCTTCAGTCTGCTCAACTGAAACTTTTCGTTTAAACAGTAAAACAGATGAACCCCAGGCATTTGTGTTACAGTGAATTCCAGGGGCCTGGAGAGTGGCCTGAGCAGATGTGAGCACTGGCTACTCTTCCGGGAACCCGGGTTTGATTCTCAGAACCCACATGGCAGCTCATAACCACCTCTTACTTCTGTTCCTGATGTGGCGACTCCTCCTCTTCTGGCCACGGCAGGCACCAGGCAAGCCGGAGGTGGCGTACCTGCATGATCAGGGCACCCAGACATGCAATTGAAAATTAGAAATTAATTTAAAAAACGAAGTTACCAAATAACTGCCGTTACCGATTTGCTGCAGTCAGTCCGAATCAGAATGCAAGGCCATGCAAGAAGCCGTGCTCGCTGAGGACGTCCTGTTCCAACTGCACCAGCAATGGCATGGAGTGTATGTGGTGTGGCAGCACCAAGCGCTGCGTGGACTCCAACGCCTACATCATCTCCTTCCCCTACGGACAGTGCCTCGAGTGGCAGACCGCCACCTGCTTGCGTAAGTACAGGTGGAGAGAGACTTAGTGCACAGGGGCATTAAAATAATGGGGAAGAACACTGCCACAAGGAAGTCTGGAATCTGTGTATTAGTCTCTGACTTGGAGTGTGTGTCATTCTGAATTTACCACGCTATTACCATTTTACCGCCATGTTTGACCCATGCCCTGAACTCAGAGTTTCTCGACAGTGCTGTTTGGCGTCTAAGTGTTCCTTGGTACGCTCTCCTTCCCTCCACCCCCTTTTTCTTTAGGCGGGTGATACCCCTGAAGAATTGACACTAGTTGTTTCGTGGGGTGCTCAGCTCGTGTTTGTCTAAACATTCTTTACATTGCTAGATCAGCTCTACACTGTATTGTTAAGAAGGGTGTGTGTAGGTGGTGAAACTGTACAGTAAGACTTCCTGTGGGTGTGAGCTGGTGATGGCAGCGGGGAGAAGCTGGAGATGGTCTCAGGCAGTTATCTGGAGGAGTGGGACCACAGGAACACATGTAAGGGAGGCTTTGCTCGAGCGATATAGAACCATTGCATCTGGGTGGTCCTACGTGGTGGTCCACACGGCCACATAGTGCTCAGTGCAGGAGTCACTCACCGAGCAGCACCATTAGTGTTGAAGGCCCCGGGTTCCTAGAGAGTCACCGGTCTTCAGTCCATGCTGGGACCCTATGAAGCGGAGTCTGGTTTAAATAAAGAGTGGCAGTTGCAGCACAGAAGGATGTATCAATGAGAAGCCAGCACAGGCAAGCAAGCAGCACTATTTTCCTTGAATCTCCTTAAAAATTATTGAAGGAGCACTTAATTGAGGGCTTACTTATAGTTTCTTTGGGTTAGTCCACAGTCATCATGGCAGGGAGCTTGGTGGCAGGTAGGCAGGCCTGGCGGCTTACATCAGGCCCACAAGCACTTGGTGATGTGGGGTGAGGGTGGGGGCAGGAGAAAAAGAAATATTGGGCCCCACATGGGCTTTTGAAACCTCAAAGGTGACACAGCTCCTAATCCTTCCTAAACAGTGCTACTAACTGGGAAGCAAGGATTCAAATGTATGAGCCCATGGGGGCCATTCTGTTATTTTTTTTTCCTTTTACTGAAAATATTTTTTTCCACACATAATACATCCTGATTTAGAGTTTCTCCTACCTCTACTCCTCCCATTTCTTCTTCTTCTTCCCTTCCACCCAGATCCACCCCTTTCTGTCTCTCATTAGAAAATAAACACACTTGGGATAATATAATATGATATAATGATATGATATGATACGATATGATATGATATGATATGATATAATATAATATAATATAATATAATATAATATAATATAATATAATATAATATAATATAA